TTATTAACTGGTACACCTAGTAGTTCTCCACACCTGGCTTCTCCAAAGTGACCAGGAGAAATTCAGTGAAAGTAGCTTCCCTCCTTTCAGCTGTCTTTCAGAGCACTCCTCACCTCCCTGTGGGTTTGCCTCTCTGATCTCTACATACTGATTTCCCTTCTCCAGGCACAAAATTCAAAAAGTTTCTTAAAGAGCAAGACAATTTAACATAAATGGTAGGCTGTACTTGCCACTAAAAGGAGGGATTTCCTTGTTCCCAAAGTTGTATCTCTGAGTCAATGTAGCAAGAACCAGACAGGCCTGAATGGGCTCATTGTGTTTTCACCATCAAGTCTCCAATTACAAAATTTCAAGACTCCCAGATAATCCACTTAAGCTGGGTATAAACTCATGGGTCTCAGATCTACTACTTATTAAATATACGATCAAACATGCTTAGGTCTCAAGAACTATTCCTGCCATCTCTCCCTCCTTCTCTCCCTTTTTACGGACCTTTGTTGTTCCATCAGGAAAATGAACTATAATAGAAATGGAAAGAGAAGGAATTTAATACATTACAATTTAAATATTGGATAATAACACCACTAACCTCAAATGTTTATTTCTAAAACTTGTTTTAGATTTTAATATCCTTCCATTTCTCCCAACTATCTTCTCATTAAGCAGCATTCTGGAGAATATGAAAAGGATGCATTTCACACGTGTACAATGTTAGTTTATAAATTTATTTCATATACATTATCTTACATGATCCTCACAAAAATGCTTTAAGGTATTCTGAGCAGAAACTGTTATTCTAATTTTATGAGTGAGAAAACAATTTCCCAGGAAGATTACAGGTGCCGAGGCTGAGACTGGACAAAGGGCTGAAACTCTTAGCTCTGCTCCAGGGGCTCTGTGGTGGGACAGGCTGCCACTGCAAACAGGCAGATGAGACAGGGCTAACACATCTGTCTGTGAGTAACAGCTGGGGAAGGCTACCTCTGTCTTATTCAGCCAATAAGTTGTGAGTTTTAATAAGTTATAAAAAATGTAAAATAATAATTATAAGTATTAACAGTGCATTTCACCTACAGAACACATAGTATTTATAATCTTTCTCAACACACTGAGTAATGAAGGTAAAATTTTATTTAAAAGTGCATGTCCTTTGTTTTATGTATGTATGAAATGTATAGAGGTTCCAGGTTAGAGCTTAGGAGAAATGGGCACCATGGCATACTGCTAGTGGAATACAAATTGGCAAGGCTTTTCTGGGGGTAATTTGTCAATGAATATCAAAAAGCCTTAAAATGCACATGGCCTCTCTGTTATTCCATTTCTAATTTATTCTAAGGAAAAAATTACGAATGTATGTAAAAATATATCTGCAAAAATATGTTAACTATGGTGTTAAAAGACCAAATTAATAAATGGATTGGTTAAACAAGAACACATGAAAGAATAAAATATAGTTCTTAAAACTGATCTGGGACAATGCCTAAGGTATATTAAGTTTAAAAAAAATCTGTAAATAATTTATACAATAGAAACATATTTTAAGATACATACATGTATGTGTATACATATATATGCATGTAGGTATGTGTGACTGAAGTATACAAAAATATTAGTAGTGATTGTACAATATATAATCAGTGATATTTCAGATTAATTTAACTGTATATTTTTTCACTTTTATATTTCAAAATCTGCATAAATGACTACATTTCTACAACAGAGTAAGTTAAATATTTTACATAGGTATATAAATATGTACACGCTATATATTTATATATTCGGTATATTATATATTACATATATATTCAGTATAATTACTATATATATATATATATATATATATATATATATATATACACACACACACACACACACACACACACACACACTATACTAGAGGCCTGATGCATAGATTTGTGCACTGGTAGGGTCCCTCGGCCTGGCCTGCAGGGATCGGGCCGAAACTGGCTCTCAGACATCTCTGAGAGGGGTCCTGGATTGCAAGAGGGAGGTTCTTGGGTGACGCACCCCAGAATCAGGCTCCCTCCTCTCTGGTTCTGGGTGCATCACTCTAGAACCACAGCTGCCAAGTCACCACAGCCCAGCAGCTCCTGCTTTGAATGTTTCCCCCGGTGGTCAGTGCATGTCTAGCTACTGGCCGGTCAGCTGGTCGCTTAGGCTTTTATATGTACACTTGTGACCCAGTGCATTAAATTCACGCACATCTTAAGGGGATTAATTAGAGGAAATAATTTAATATTGCTATTTGCCCTTTCTCTATAATAGAACTGTCAGAAATGAAAGAAAATTAGTAAAATGTACCGTATTTTCCTTTTATAGTTAAAACATAGGTTTAGGCCTATATTCGCTGTATAAGACTACCCCCCACTTCCGAGGCAACACCAGTTCTTTTTTTTAATAGACCGCCTCTCTGACTCTGGCCAATCCAAGCAGGCTTTTTATGCATGCAAATTATACATGTTCTGTACCCGAAGCTACACTGTGTTCTAGTAAAAAGCCTGCTAGGGTGGTGGTATAGTGCCATCCTAGATTTCCAAGTGAGGTGCTTTCTATCCGTCCTCTTTTCTCTGTTCCCTCTGCTGAGACCTGAGTTCATACCACTGAAAAAGCCCGGTTGACTTTTTTTCGTTTCAAAAGTCATCTTATACGCTGGAAAATATGGTATATGAAAACCTTCCTCCTTTCAGAGTCTGGTGCACACCACGGGACCCAGAGTCAAGTCCCTGCCCATCCACATGCACCTCAAAATCGCATGAGACCCAGACCTGGCCCCAGCCCCATTGGGCCAGATCCAGACCAGGCCAGTCCCACCCTTGTCAAGCCCTGCCAGGCAGGGGCCATAGCCTCAGGTCCCCTGGCCCAGCGCCAGGAGGGGGGACATGGCCTGAGGTTCCCCAGCCCAGACCGTGGTGGGGGACGTATCTTGAGGTCCTTCATTAAGCTCCTCCAGGTGGGGGACGCAGCCTGAGATCCCCTGTCAAGCCCCGCTGGGTGGGGGGCATGGCCTGAGGTCCCCCGTCAAGCCCCACAGGGGTGGGAGAGGAGGTAGCCTCCAGTCCCTGCTGGTTGCTCGTTAAGGCTTCTTATGGGAACTTGGCCTCAGCTGTGGGTGCAGCCATCTCTGTGATGGATGAGGGTCAATTAGCATATCCTCTTTATTAGATAGGATAGATAAAATGCATATTGCACATATGTATATTTAACTTGTTTAATAACCATGGAAAACAGAGGATGAAATTGAAATTTACATATATCAGAGAACCTAGAGCCATTATGCATACACATGGAAATACATTTTTAAAAATAAAGCAATATGAAGAAGGCACAGCACATAAGAGGAGTCAGGAGAGAGAACAATAGCAACTTAATTAGACAAAGCACCTAGTATAAGAAAATAAACTGGAATTGAGCAGTACATTTTAATAGCTACAGTTTCTCACTTCTAATTAACAGAAAGTCTTAAAATGCCAACAGCTACTGAAAGTCAAGTGCTTAAGCAGTGTTTGCAGGAGAGTGGACCTAGGTTCACAGGAAGTGTGGGGGAACCAGTTACTTCCGCCTGAGGCTGCAGCGCCATTGAGGAGTCTTAGGAGAAACCACAGCAGAACACACACTGCCTTTGTAGGAACTGACACACACCTACCTGCAGGGCAAGTTCTGCTCGTCATGCCTCGGAGAAGATATGGGAACAAAGGACCCGGAAATGGGAAAATTGTGAAAAGGCAATTATAAGGAGAGAAATTAGGAACCACTGATCTTCAAAGACTAAAGCCGAACAGAAAAATGTCTTCCAAAGTTTACAGGCAGAATGAAAATAAGCGCTAACTAATATGGCTGAAGTTGAAATAAGGCAGAGCCAAGGAAAAGATGTCTTGATGGAACAGGAAAACATATGAGATGCATCATCCCACTACATTTAGAATGAAATCCAAAGGCCTTTACAAGTTCCGAGGGCCGCTCAGACCTCCCCCTTCCTGTCCCCACCCTGGTCTCCTCCCCAGACCCAGCCACACGGTCTCCCTCCTGCTCCTCTCACAAGCCCACGCCTTCCTACTGCCTCGGCCTGATTGCTCTTCTCCTAACTCCCTACCTGGCCAGCGCTGGTTTGAGATCTCAGGGTCAGAGTCACCTCTAACGGGACCTTCCCTAACTGCCCCACCCAGGACCACCTGCTCCTGGATCAACCACTTGATTTCATTTTCCCACAATGCTTTGCACCATATGAGGTGGCCACATCCACTTACATCGATTGTGTGTCTCCCCAAGTAAGAAAGAAAAGATTTAAAAAGTTACACATCTTGCAGGCTTTCCCTGACTCTCGAGGCGAGGTCAGATCACTGTATTTTGCTATACTTTTCTACCTCATCTTTTGCAACCCAAATTTTAGTTGTAATTTTTTTTTAATAATATTTGCTTTTCCTCAAGAAGTTCTACGGGGTAAAAGCCACTGTGTGCTCCCCACCACTTCCTCTTAGGTGAAACGCGCTGAGGTTGAGCCGAGAGCTTGAAAAATGCAACGAGGAGCATGCAAACATGTAATGAGTCTGAGGAATGATGCTTCACCTCAGGCTGTCACATTACTCTGTCGAGGGGCTCAGCAGCCCCAAAGAGACGACAGGGTGAAGGAAGGTGCTAGGGCCGGGGACGCCCCAGGACCGGGGACAGTGCGACACCAGGACCCCGGAGCCGTTCTCTGGCCTCGGCTGGCACTCACCATCGTCTCAGGAGCTCAGCACGGAGAAACAGGTAACACTGCCCCAGGAAGACACCGGCTCTGACACGGACGCCCGGTTACCCTGGCAACAGAGCCCCGCCCCTGCAGGACGTTGCGTAGAGGCCGCGGTCCCTCTCCCTCATCCCTATTGGCTGGGAGTAACCAAAGCTCCGCCCACCCAGTTGACTTTCGCAGCCCTGGACGCCTTGGCCCGGGGCGACGGAACACCGCCTAGGTCTTTCCAGCGTCATCACTTCCGTTTCGTTGACAGCCGACCCGGAAGTTCAAGCCAGTATCCAGCTAGGGTCCAAATATTCTCTCGTTTATTTTAAAATAAGCATCTGTCCAAGTTTTCACTCCCTGAAGCCTACACCGTCTGGTCTGTGTTGCTTGAGTTTAAACGCAAGACAGAGCATGTTTACCTGTGTGTTTGGAAACATCTTCCGGAAACGAAACCCTGAGTAATCGGTCGGAAGTGATAGGAGGGAGGGGAAGTCGCTGACGCCGAGGCCGGGCGGGCGGCTGGGAATGGAAGGGAACTGACTGACTGCGGAGAAGTTGCCCCGGGATTTCGCGCCGAGCCCCCTGCCCCGGAAAGCCCGCCGGGGAGGAGTGAGGATCCCAGAGGTACGTCCAGGCGCGGGCGCTGGGGCCGAGGGGACGGTGACAGGGACAGGGTCTGGGCTGGAGTGTGGGTGTCCGCGCCTTTGGGTTTAAGGTAAGGTGACCAGACATCCCGCTTTTGGCGGGACAGTCCCGATTTTCAACAATTTGTCCCGCGTCCCGCGGCGTTTTAAAAAAGTCCCGATTTTCGGGACTTTTTTAAAACGTCGCGGGACAAATTGTTAGAAATCGGGACTGTCCCGCCAAAAGCAGGAAGGCTGGTCACCTTAGTCTAAGGCTGGAGCGGTGGGAACTTCGGGGAGACGGCCCGGGACGGCGGAGGTTGGGAGGCGTGTCGCCTCCTTACCGGCCGCCGGTTACCCACTCCCTCCACACACCCCGCTGCGGTGCTCGTCCCTCACTCAGCATCTTCCCAGCGCGGTTGGAGGGCTCCTGGCGCCATCGCCGGCGCTTTGGAACCCGTTTTCGGGGTGACTGCCGAGGAGGGGAGTCCCGGAGACCCGGTGCCGAGCCAGGGCGAGTACCCAGAGTGATCGTTTTTTGTGGTGAAACCAGTTGCTCTCGCCTTGCAGGTCACCACATATTGTTAATATTGCATTCGTACCGCCTTCCTTCTCATGTTCTGCAGTGACTCAGTCGATGCTAAGGCCACGCATACATTTCTGAAAGTACGTGCTCTGCCATTTTAATCTTATTTCTGAGAAAGTGCAAATTGAGCTATCATGGATATTTTTATTGTTTGTTAAACATCTGAATAGAAGCTCCTCTCTGATATTCAAAATGAACAAATTAGTGCCAATGTCTGCTGGCACTGATTATTTTAAATTTCCAGTTGTTATATCAATGATGCAAGAGCCTCTGCAATAGCTAATGTGCTATTTCTGAACTAAAATTCAGGACAAACATCCAGTAATTTAGAGTATACTGGTGAGGACAATGACATGTAAATACCACCCCTGATTTTTGTGAGTGTGAGAGAGATATTTGGTAGCTTTATCAATATCACCTATTAAAAAAAGAATATAAGGGGTACTCCCTTTTTAAATGCATGTTACTAAATACAGAAGTAGAATATAATTATATTTCAGGGTAAATGTGTTGATACAGTATTGCTTTAACTCTTTCATTTTACACATTTTTAGGTTATTCAATAGAAGTCTTGGGGTGCATTTTCATTGATTAAAAATGACTACCCTTGGGAGTTTAGAAACTAAAGGTAAGTCTTTTTAAATTTTTTTTTATCTTCTCTGTATCGTTCCAGTTTTAGTATATGTGCTGCCGAAGTGAGCACAGTAAGTCTTCTTTTGATGATAATTGTTTTTATTTTTATTTTTTAAACATATTTTATTGATTTTTCACAGAGAGGAAGAGAAAGGGATAGAGAGTTAGAAACATCGATGAGAGAGAATCATCGGTCAGCTGCCTCCTGCACACCCCCAACTGGGGATGTGCCCGCAACCAATGTACATGCCCTTGACCGGAATCGAACCCGGGACCTTTCAGTCCGCAGGCTGACGCTCTATCCACTGAGCCAAACCGGTTTCAGCTGATAATTGTTTTTAAAATATGACATTTATGATGATAGGGCAAATGAATGTTTGAGCCAGCGGGGTAAATCTCATAGAGGCCTGGGGAATCATCTGTGGCTCGGACTATAGCTGAATTTTTCACTAATGATTGAGTGTAGAGGGGGTAAATGAAGCAGTTTTAGGATGAGTTAGTTACTGGCTGTTAACATAAAATCTTCTAGGATTTCTGTGTTAACGTCAGTGAACTTCAGGAAGCACCAATTCATCTTTTCTGTGCCAAGCACGTTTCCGTAGCTGAGGAGACAAAGACTAGGAGGCAGCCCCAGCCTGGACAGCTCCCAGCTCTCTAGTCCGCACGGGTTCAGGGATTTGCCCCAGGTCACACAGTATGTGGCAGGAGGGCCTGGAGTTCCCATATTTTAACTCAGCGTCTGGGTCTTTCCTATCGCACCATTATGCTGACTTAGGGCGTCTGTTTTCATAGATTTTCACCTTTATGAGAAAAGGAGAAATGTTTAATAACAAACTACAAAATCATCTTCTTTTTGCCTCAGTGTTCTAGAGCAGGGTTGAAAATTAGGGCCCTTGGGCCTCCTGAGAACATTTGCAATCAGTTTGGTAATAGGGAGCACTGAATCCCACTTAAGCTAAGTGTTATCCCAAATAAAAAAGAATTCTGTTCTTGTCATTATCAGACCTATATTTAAAAAAAAAACAAAAACAAAAAAACCCCACAAACTTTATTCCATTATTAGTTTGAATTTCATGTATAAATTTTGGGGATTTTTTTCTTTTATAAGTACCTACGTAGTATGCTCAGTTTTGTCTCATGGTCCAAACAGCTTACAATATTTATTATCTGGTCCTTTACAGGAAAAGTTTGCTAACCCGAACATTTGTTCTTTCCTGCCTTTCAGCATCCTTGGCGAAGACAATAGGAATGAGCCAGAAACATTAGATATGTCTTAATCTTTGATAAACGGTCACAGGTGGAAATACTGTTGGTGCACAACTGAATTATGTCGTCAGTTCCCTTCAAAGAGTGGAGAAGGACAGGGTTCATGCTTTGCCTTACCTAAGCATTGCTCATAATTATGGAGCTGGTACCACACATCATGGTCCTCCCACTGAGGAGAAGGTCATTGCTCATGAATGTGTCCTGGATTGTGCCAGTGCGTGTGTAATAAAGGTTTCTATGTGTGTCATGAGAAAAATAGAATTATGAAAGGTGAGCTACCGGGTGAGGAAATGTGAAGCCCTGACCCCCTTTGCCTGCTGTGCGTTCCTGCGGGCTTGCAGCGTAGCCATTACAGAAAGGAGCTGCCACGTGGTACATAGTATACCTTAGCACTCCTAACCCTGAGTAAGTAGGACACTTTAATGCAGCTAAGAGTAAACTGTGGTTGAACCAAGTTGTTTGAATTTGATTGGAACTTGAACATAATTTGTTTAAAAGGAGATTTCTTTTAAGCTTCAGCAGGCCTGAGTATAAAACTTTAGTTTCTTTTATATATATATATTATTGATTTCAGAGAGGAAGGGAGATAGAAACATCAATGATGAGAGAGGATCATTGACCGGCTGCCTCCTGTACACCCTTCACTGGGGTTCGAGCCCGCAACCTAGGCATGTGCTCCGACCAGAATCAAACTGTGACCTCCTGGTTCAAAGGTCAGTGCTCAACCACTGAGCCACGCCAGCCAGGCTAATTTCTTTTTCTTTTTAAATATATTTTTATTGATCTCAGAGAGGAAGGGAGAAGAAGAGATAGAAACATCAATGATGAGAGAGAATCATTGATTGGCTACCTTCTATATGCCCCTACTAGGGATCATGCCCACAGCCTGGGCTTGTGCTCTTGGCCCGTTATGGAACCTGGGACCCTTCAGTCCCCAGGCCTATGCTCTATCCACTGAACCAAACCAGCTAGAACTAATTTCTTTACCTTTTTTTTTTTATAATATATTTTATTGATTTTTTACAGAGAGGAAGAGAGAGGGATAGAGAGTTTGAAACATTGATGAGAGAGAATCATCGATCAGTTGCCTCTTACTGGGGATGTGCCTACAACCAAGGTACATGCCCTTGACCGGAATTGAACCCGGGACCCTTTAGTCTGCAGGCTGACGCTCTATCCACTGAGCCAAATTGGTTTTGGCACTAGTTTCTTTAAAAAAAAAAAAAATGTAGTTAATTCATGATTCTACATTACTTCTTAAATGCCAGGTGTGCCAGTGATAATTTGTATTAGCCAGAATCCTTAGGAAGAAGGGTTGAACTGAGATTTGAAGGGTGGGTAGGAACTAACTGCAGGAGAAAGGGTGTTAGAAAGAATATTCCAAGCAGAGAAATGTCTGGAGAGGAAGGCAGCCTTTGAGACCTGCTGGTATTGAGACCCCCTCCAGAAAGCAAGTCAGGCTGGAATACAGAGTCTGGGGGGTCAGTGGCAGAAGTGGGCCCCTCAGATAGGCAGGGCCAGGTCTCGGCAAGCTGGGCAGGCCGTGCTAAGGATCTTGTTTGTTCTGAGAGGGATGGAGGCCATTCCAGGGTTTGGTACAGATCGGTTCTGCATGATTTGGAAAGCTCGCTATGCCTGTCATAAATCCTGTGGGCTCCATGGTCTGCCAGGTAGTGGCATTAGCAGACTAAGTTCGGGTTGATGAGGCAGTAGTTGTGGTTTGCGGATGGCCTCCTGGGCCAGTTAATAGCTTACTCTGGAGTCAGATTTGGATTCAAATCCCAGTCTGACATAGATGATTTGGACAAGCTGTGCAACTTTTCAAAGCCCCCTTTTCTGTCTACAAATGTGTATGTTGTGCTTATGAGACAGGTGTAAAAGTTAAATGTACTCATCTGAAGGACGTAGAGAACCCTTCGCACACAGTAAGTTGAATGAAGGTTAATTAATACTATTTGTGGGCTCTGCCTTCCACTTCTCCAGTATGTGCTGGACTTGTCAAATGGCAGGGATCTCAGGTGTAGCTCAAAGGGCTGCTATGTGTGAGCTCAGAGCTCCGTGTAGATGTCACCTCAGTACCTCCTAAAGGTCTGCAACACTTCCTGTTCTAGCACACCCTCCATTCTTCCTCAGCGCTAAACCCCTTCTGCCTTGAGTCAGTAAACCGGTGATTCTCAGCCTTCCTAATGCCTCGACCCTTTAATACAGTTCCTCATGCTGTGGTGACCCCCAACCATAGAATTATTTTTATTGCTACTTCATAACTGTAATTTTGCTACTGTTTGAGAACTGCCAGCAGGGTTTTACATTACCATATTTACATTATTCATAACAGTAGCAAAATTACAGTTAAGAAGTAGCAACGAAAATAATTTTATGGTTGGGGTCACCACATGAGGAGCTGTACTAACGGGTTGCAGCATTAGGAAGGCTGAGAACCACTGCAGAAAAGGGAGCCCTTTCCTGGAGAAAGGTGGCTGACTCCTTTCTTATCCTCCTCACTGGCGGTAAGACAACGGGTGGAAGAAGCAGAGCTGTTGGTTGCTGACTGGAGCAATGGCAGTGTGCTGGTGAGCAGAGATGCCTTCTTGCTTACATGAGGGAAGATAATTTATTTCAGTTGAGCAGATTAGTTTGGTAAACATGTGCAGCAGTGCACTAAGCGATATGGAAGAAAGGGATGGGTGCTACTATTTATTGAATTCCTGCTATTTACTTGTGTGCTGGACACTTTATACCTGAACTTGAACTTGGGAAAATGGAAGAGGCAGCATATGCAGTGGGAAAGGCCCCATTCTTTGTGAACAGACTGCTTAGAATTCACTTCTGCCTCTTCACTTCCTTCTGTGTGGTGTGACAGTGGGCAAGTTGCTGGACCTCCTTGTGCCTCATTTTCCTCGTGTGTAAAATAGAACTAATCATCCTACTCAAAGGGTTATGTAAGGAGTACAAGAGTTCTGTGTAAAGTATTTAGAATAGTATTTGGCACATGGTAAGTCTTTTGTAAGTGTTGGTTACCTGTTACTTAATATTTTCTCATTTAAAATTCAGATTTAATACTACCTGGATGTAAATATTATTAAATTAATTCCATGGAAGTTAAAACTGAAGCTGAGATCATTGTAGAATTTTGTCCAGATTGTAATAGTGGAAGAAATTCAAACCAGATCTGGGTGATCCCCAAAGTCCTATCATTCCTCTGGCACCATGTTCCTTCCACTTGTATGGGCATACTGTCTGCTCTTAATGTGCTTATCAGACTTACTGGGAAAGAGAAAATAGCATGTACCAAACCCTTAAAATGATAATGTTGGTTCATGATTAAGCTTCAAACTGAATGTTTGAGACAGTAAGTGCCATGGACATTCTTCAGAGAGTGGGCCGGAACAATAGGGAAGATTTAATGTGAAGCATGTAGTTGAAGCTGACTTCTTAGGGATAACCGAGAACCACAGTGAGGACCAAATCAGCCACTTAAGAGAATAAGACAGCAGGAACAGCGATTAGAGGCCCGGGAGAGAGAGCATTGAATAGTTCAGTTGGGTAGTTTGTGGAAGCATTGTTTGTCAAGAGTTCAAACAACAAATTATTTTGAAGTAGATGCTTTCAAATATGCATATATATATATATATATATATGTGCATATTTTTTTAGCTGACATTATTGATTATCTACGGTGTGGCAGGCTCTTGATCTGTGTTCTTGCTCACCACAACCCTGTAGCACAACTGTCATTGTCTTCGTTTGCAGAGTAGGGCACTGAGATTCATGGAGGGTTAACCGATTTTCCTAAGGTCATACTAGGAAGTAGAAGTCAGAACCAAACACCCTGATTCCAGATCTGCATTTCCTACCGAGAGAGAGGCCAGTTACTTAAGGGAAGCTTGAACCGTAGGGCATAGTTCATCTTTCTTTGACACACGATTGTTTTGAAAATCACTTTCAGTCTGAATATTTCCATTCTGTAAGCGCCATTGATTCTGATGTAGGGTGAGACGTGTCTTGGCACTTTCCTGGTACTTCTTTTCAGTAAGTAGTTTGTTTTTTGCTCCCTCTTTCAGTCACCCTGACTTCAACCCCAATCAGAGGAGCAGGAGATGGAATGGAAACGGAGGAGCCGCCTAAGGCTGTTGAAGTCACCTCTGCAGTCCAGCCTGTGAAGCCCCACGTCCTTCCGAGTCCACGAAGGAAAGCGGTCGCCCCAGAGAACCCGGGAGTCCTGCAGCTGGGCAAGATCCTCACCGAGAAAGCGGTGGAAGTCGAGGCTGTAAGAATATTGGTTCCCAAAGCTGCTATCACCCACGTTGTCCCCAACAAGAATGCCAAGGGTAAACCTCTCACACGTCAGAAAGGGGAGCTCTCTGGTCAGTCCGAGGGAGCGGCCGAGCCCCGGAAGGAGCTCGCAGAGGTGAAGAGCAGCCTGGAGAAGCTCAGGAACTCAGAAAGGAGGCTGCTGCAGGACCGAGAGGGCCTTTCCAACCAGCTCCGTGTGCAGACGGAGGTAAGGACCGTCCCGGCTGCAGTGGTGCTTGCCACACCTGCCCTGAGCCTGCGCGTTAGAAACTCCATTCCTCCTGGGAACGCAGGTGCCACTCACCACAGCCCGTCACCTCTCTAGATGCTTCCTCTCACATTTCACATTCTCAGGGCCTCCATGGAACTAGTGTATGTCAGGAACTTACACTCTGACCCACGTTGGAGAGGGAAGAGTGAGGAATACCTAAAGTTATAAAGGAGGTTACAGTTGTAAACTTCCAGACCAAAGACTGGCCAACTCAGGCTTTGAAACTGACTCGTTAGTAAATCCTGTTTTAAGGATCCATGAATTCCAAGTATTTTTACCTACATATACATAGTGCTTGGAATAAAGAGAATGGTGGGATAAGTATTGGTCTCATCATTGTAAATGGAAACCATCTATAAAGTTTGTGTTTCTTTAATCTTTTCATCTTAGTCAACATTGCCTTAGCCTCCACTTTTCCCCTCTTAGTCTTTGTGACACAGGCTAGTGGTTCTCACCCAAATATATTTTAATATATTTTCTACAACTAATTTCTAATTATAAAAGTATTTGTAAACAATTTGAAAAATACAGAAAACAATGAAAATAGTGCCACCTTAGATGTTAATGTTTTCCTGGGTCACAGAACATTCTATTACAAATAGTGCCACCTTATTGTTAACGTCTTCTTATGTCACAGAATATTCCATTACAAATAGCCACAGTTCTTGAGTGTCTGCATCATAAACCAATACCTGTGATTGGACATTTATATTTTGACTCCTGTGTTTTCAGTATTAAAGGATGTGCTTGTAGAGAATCTTGAGTTTCTTCCTTTATTTATAAAATTCTTAAAAGGAAAAATCATAAGATACAAAGAAATTATTTTTTTAATATATTGATTTTTTTTTTTTTTTTTTTTTACAGAGAGGATGGGAGAGGGATAGAGAGAAACATCGATGAGAGAGAAACATCTATCAGCTGCCTCCTGCACACCCCCTACTGGGGATGTGCCCACAACCAAGGTATATGCCCTTGACCAGAATCGAACCTGGGACCCTTCAGTCTGCAGGCCAATGCTCTATCCACTGAGCCAAACCAGTTAGAGCAGAAATTATTTTTTAGACGTTAGATAAGATTAAAAACACACACACATAAAGCATTCTCTGTCCACTGGCCTTTGTGGCTCCATCCGGGAACCAAGCGGTTCAGGCTCTATCCCCAGTAGGGAGCCCACAGGAGGCAGCCGATTGTTGATATTTCTCGATTGATGTTTCTGTCTCTACCCCTCTCCCTTCCTTGCTCTAAAAAATAAATCTAAAAATATATATTTTTTAAATTCTGTCATTTTTTAACAAAAGTCACTTTAGTTTTTTATCTTTTCCCCTTTAAGTATTGCTTGGGAGCAGCTTGTTATTTTTATGACAACAACTTGTGCTCTTATTATAAGAGGCTCAGTTTATAGCCGCCTGGGCTATAAAGACAGAAGTAGGTTTGGTTAATATGAGTATATCATGACACCTAGATATTTACTGTCACTTTTTGATCTTTAATAATGGAGGTTCACATTACACACAACAGTTCCTCTTTTGTTCATTCGGTACAGTGTAGTCACTGACACGCCCTGAGCATGTTCCATTGTTATGTGCTCTTCCAGGTCAATCGCGAATTAAAAAAGCTGCTGGTGGCTTCTGTTGGTGACGATCTTCAGTATCACTTTGAACGTCTAGCCCGTGAGAAAAATCAGCTTATTTTGGAAAATGAAGCCCTAGGTCAGAACACAGCTCAGCTTGCCGAGCAGTTAGAACGGATGTCAATACAGTGTGACGTGTGGCGAAGCAAATTCCTCGCGAGCAGGTATGTTCTGCTTTAAATAGTTTCCATTTTCTAGTTCAGATCTATTAGCCTTTTGACCCATCACACAAGAAAGTCACTGTAGAGCACATGTGTCAAACACAAGGCCCGCGGGCCAAATCCGTCCCGCCAGGCCTTGCAATGTGGCCCGCACCGCGCTGTCATCACTGCACTCCGCTGCGTTTCCATCACAATGACAGTTTATGACTGTTCAGTAAACCATTCGGCCCGCGATTTAGGCTGGATTTTAGATTTTGGCCCCTTCTCTGATTGAGTTCGACACCCCTACTGTAGAGTGACAAACTCTGACCAGGTTGTTCATTATTACGGAAGATGTGGACTCTCACTCGTAAGGATGGAAGCACGGACTCCCCACGGGGAGAAGAGACAGAAGGATGCTCCCTCATTCCAGAATTCTAGGTTACTACTCTATAGTAGGAATCACTCCCACTACAATACTTAATACCAAAACAAAATTGTCAATTCAGACATCGAGTAAATATTAAAACCACAATAAAAAAAACTAAATTATTCTCTGGAGAACTCATGTCTGCCACTCTGTAACATAGTATTTTGTGTCCTTCGTGCTTGTTCTCATAGCAGTTAATATATAACATAGCGTCCCAGCCTTTTTCACTCTTTCCACAAACAGAGAAGGATGGCATAGGCGTGCATAGTGGATGAGGCTGCGCTCCAGCAGGCCCATGGACACACTGATAGGTGGGAAGCTGTAAGAAATTATGATGCTTTATTTACTAGAGGCGTGGTGCATGGCAGGCCAGGCCAAGGGGATTTGGACAAAACCAGCATTCCACCATCTCCCGAGGGGTCCCGAGTGTGAGAGGGTACTCTGCTGTCACTACGCAGCTCCTGTGTTGATCGTATGCCCCCTGGTGGTCAGATCACGTCATAGACTGGCCAGTTGGCTGGTGAGTCGCCTAGGCTTTTATATAGATCCCCTCCTCCTTCCAACTTTGTGTTACTGGAGAATGGGGTCTATAGGTTATCCAACTGTGAATTCCCCATGCTTAGCCAGTGTTTCACACACAATGCTTACTACTAATAACTGTTGATTCACATCTAGTCATTTGTGATATCTCACAAAGCCCCAGAGGTTCCCAGGCTGTACTGTAAGAACCACGATTGTGATGAATAAATTTTCAAGAAAATGTTTCTTCATGTCTTAATTCCTGTGCTACTTTCTAGTAATTGACTACTCTCTTAAAGTCCTTACTTGGTTTTCTAATCTGACTATGTTAAATATTCTTTGTAAGTTTTTTAAAATGACAGTGTAGTTTGCTGTTTGGAGAAATAAATGTACTGCTTATTATCTTAGGATGAAAGTTAATTCTCCTTAAACAGTTTAGGAGACAACAGATTATTACATTATGTAACTTTTTTAACATTCTGATCAAAACTGACAATAATGTTCAAAGAGCAATAGAGATATTTTATTTTAGTGATATTTTAGTGATATTTTGGTTGACTTAATCATTCATTGTGAACATTTTTATTTTATTTTAAGGACTTTAGTTGTTGCTATGATTTGAGACTTTAATTTTAGTTTTAAGATTTCCCGCTGATTAAACATACTTAAAATTTGTTTCAGTCCCATCGGTAGGGAACTGATTAAATAAACTTTGGTACATTCAATCAGAAGAAAACATTAAGCTTTACTTTTAAAAAGGGGGATGAGATAGTTCTATATGTGCTAATACTAAAACTCACCAAGATAAACTAGTAGGTGAAAAAAGAAAAGTATAGAAAAGTTAATACTAAATAATGCTTTTTGTAAGTGAAAAATATATTTATTGTTAACCCATAGTTTTATGTTGAATATACATAGATTTTTTTCTGGAAAAATATATAAGGAACTGTACTGGTTACATGTAAAAGAAGGATGCGACCTGGACAGGAGAGAAGGCTTTGTTTTCTGTGTGGAAGCCTTTTTACATTATTTTAATATTCTTCTGAGGGCAAAGAGGTAATTGAATGGCAGGAAAATAATGCGTTTTTGTTTTCCTCTAAGCTGTTTTATATTTAAAATATTTTATTAATGTTTTTTCCAAAATTTGGTAAGATTGAGGAACATTCCAAAAGTCACTATGTATAAGGAAAGCCCATTTCCTTTGTCATTTTGTAAATATTTCAATTGAATCCCTTCAGTGAATTCTCAGCTTGCAAACATTTTAAATGCTTCTTAGTGGAGATTGAAACACTGAGAAGTAGTATATCTATGTTGAGTATTCTTTGTAAGCTTTTGAAAATGACAGTCGCCAAGGTCATAATTTAACTTCTTTGCACTGTGTTGTTGTCGGAGAATTTTTAGGTAAGATTTTCATCTTTTTCAGGGTTATGGCGGATGAGCTGACCAATTCCAGGGCAGTTCTGCAGCGTCAGCACCGGGACGCGCAGGGTGCGCTCCAGGACCTGCTGAGCGAGCGGGAGCAGCTGCGCCAGGGAATGAAAGCCACCCACACGTATGGCCCTTTTACAGCCGGACTCTTCTCCACTCCTGCAGTTCCCAGCATGTGAAAGCTCTATGCCAATAAGTCCAACAGCTTAAATGAAATGGACAAACTCCTTAAAATGCACAAACTACCTAAGAGTATCAAGAACAGATAACCTGAATAGCATAACCTATTAAGACAGTTATATTTGTAATTAAAAACCTTCCAGTCAATGAAAGTCCAGGCCTAGAGGGATTCACTGGTGAATACTAGCAAACATGTAAGGAAGAAATAAAGCCAAATTTACACAAACTCTTCTAGGAAATAGAGAAGTAGGGAACAATTTCCAACTCATTATATGAAGCCAATATTATCTTGATACCAAACCAGACAGAGACATTGCAAGAAAACTACAGACCAGTAGTTCTCATTGCATAGATGCAAAAATCCTTCACAGGATTTTAATGAATCAAATCTAACCATATACAGTCATGTGCTGCATAAAGATGTTTTGGTCAGTGATGGACCTACGGTGGTCCCATAAGACTATAATGGAGCTGAAAAGTCCCTACCACCTGGTGACGTGGCAGCTATCCTAAGGTGGCTGCATGCTTGCTGGTAAAAACCAACCGAGCGCACTGCCGACCATGTGGAAGCCTAACACATACAGTATGTACAGTCCACAAACCTGGTGGTCATACTATCTATTACTGGTCTATGGATTTCTATACTATTTATCACTACGTTAGACTGCACTCTTCCATGTTCTCCCGGCAGCAGCCTCATCCATCCAGTATCTCTGCATTGCATCGATTTCTCTTGCGCTTGCTTAATCTCATGTGGTACAGCAAGCATGTCAAATTTACGGCATACAGCCTGCTGGCCACAAGTCTGACATGCTTGTGTACAGTAACTTGCTGCACGAGTTTGTAGCGCTGGAGCCATAGGCTGTACCAGACAGCGCTGGTGTGCAGTGGGCTGTACTGTCCAGGGGTGTGTAGTGCACTCTGTGATGTTCACACAATGATGAAACTGTCTAACGATGCATTTCTCAGAAGATATCCTGTCATTTAGTGGAGCTGACTCTATAAAAAGGTTTACACATCATGTTCAAGTTAGTGTTAGCCCAGGAATTGTAGGTAGTATGTTATTCAAAAATTAATTAATGCCGAAACCGGCATTAGTGGATAGAGCGTCAGCCTGCGGACTGAAAGGTCCCGGGTTCGATTCCGGTCAAGGGCATGTACATTGGTTGCGGGCACATCCCCAGTAGGGGGTGTGCAAGAGGCAGCTGATTGATGATTCTCTCTCATCGATGTTTCTAACTCTCTATCCCTTTCTCTTCCTCTCTGTGAAAAATCAATAAAATATATTTTAAAAAAAATTAATGCAATTCACCAAAAGGAAATACCATATGAATAGATGCACAAATCAAATCAGTAGTTCTGTACAACTGAATGATATACTAGTGTATTTTACCTATTATAGGATAAGAGGACAAAAAAGTGCTGCTTAGTGATTTCCAGATAATAATAAAGTGATTTCCAGATAATATAGTAAATTGCTTTTTGTAATCTAACTTCTTTTCCCAGACTTCCTGATTTATTGAACTCTGAAAGATAGATATGGGAGAAAGCTATAACTTCAGAAATAAGCATTCATCGAACATTCCTGATTTTTCCATTTGTCTTACTAATGTTCAGTGTTCATGCGTGTTCTCTGCAGTTTGCTGGAGGAGCTGCTGGTCTCCCTGCAGTGGGGAAGAGAGCAGACTTACTATCCTAGCGCCCAGCCGCACAGCACAGCGGAACTAGCGTTAACCAATCACAAGTTGGCAAAAGCGGTAAATGCTCATCTTCTGGGAAATGTTGGAACTAACAGTCAAAAGAAGAGTCCACCAGCAGTTGAATTCTGCAGCACCCCAGCGGAGAAAATGGCTGAAACGGTAAAGTATTCCTTGCATGATCTGTGGAACTTCTAACGCTGACTGCTCGCTGAAGGGTGGCCTGTTCTAATGGCAAGTGCTTGGCACTGAGTTCAGGAACATGGGACTTCAACATGAGCTCATGCACATGAGCTTGTGATCTTGGAGAAAATCATTTCCTCCTCTGAACTTTAATTTTCTTGAATATCATTATTTCCTTGAATACATTATAGAGAAAAATGTAATTGTTTTGAAAGAGGGCCTATTTTTTTTAGCCTTTTCTCGAATTCATTTTGATATGAAAACTAGCAAGTAGTAGAACTTTTCATTTAGTAATCATGAGTAGATAATAGGTTACTTCTGATTTAAGAGATTATTTGTTAATTCTCACATATAGACCAGTCCTATGTCAGTTCAGCTGTCTGTCTTCTTTGCTTCTATACCCATCAAACTCATCAGCAGGTGAGCAGTTCCTCACATACAGAAGCAAAAGGGGGCAGAGAGGAAAAGTACTTCAAGGTCCCACTTGATATCTAGGCGCCTGCCTGCATGGCAGCCAGCTTTCCATACGTCCCTCCTGCTGGGAAAGGCGTCCCCTTCTCGCTAAGGCTCCCCTCCAGGCTCAGCAGGCTCCCCCAACACTCACCCCTACTCTCCACTGCTCTTTCTTTTTTTGGCTTAAGAACGTCCCAAGTGCCTCCCATCTGAAATGAAACATCCTCCCTCCACTCCAAGTTCTCTGCAGACAGCCTTCCCGTCACAGTCAAGAATCTTGGACAAGATGACTTGTTTCTCATGTCCCGTCCACCTCAGTGCCCGCCTTCACTTACCTAGTAGACTTCTCGCTCCACTGTCCTCCAGGTCCTTACCAAGGTCATGAGAGTTGAATGACTCTTGTCCTATGTACTACATCTCCCAAACTGTAAGCTTTTTAAGAGCAGGGGCTATGTCTGATGTGTCCTCAAGGTCTGGTATAATCCTTTGCACACAGTAGGTACTCAGTTATTTACTAAATGAATCAGTGGCTAAACTAAACCCATCATATCTATTGGGTCGGCAACTAAGTAATTGCGGATTTTTTAAACAATTTTTTCATGGAACTAAATAACTTTATTCTGTAATGTATTGCCCATTTTGATCAATGACCTTTTGCCATCTTTCAGGCAGCATCATAATCCCACGTTCAAAAAACTTCTGGTTTTTATTAGCAAAAAACTGAATCAGGTACGATTTGACATCATCATCATTATTGAAATTTTTACCATTCAAGGAGTTTTGTAAAGATCGAAACAAAAAGTAATCAGATGGTGCAAGGTCAGGACTATATGGTGGATGTGGCAAAACATCCCAACCAAGCTCCATTAATTTTTGCCGAGTGACCAAAGATGTGTGTGGCCTTGCATTGTCATGATGGAATACAACACCTTTTCGATTTGTCAATTCGGGCCGCTTTTCTTCAACTGCATTGTTTAATTTCGTTAGTTGTTCAATGTAGACATCAGAATTGATCGTTCGGTTGGGTGTTAAGAGTTCAAAGTAGACAATTCCTTTGTAATCCCACCAAACTGATAACAAAACCTTCTTTTGATGAATATCAGCTTTTGATGTTGTTTGAGTTGGTTCACCTGGCCTGCTCCACGATCTTTTCCGCTTGATATTGTTGTAAACAACCCATTTTTCATCGCCAGTTATCAGTCGTTTTAAAAATGGATCATTTTCATTACGTTTCTTTAGCAAATCGCAGCTGCTAATGCGTTGCATTAACTGTGATTCTTTCAGTTCGTGAGGAACCCATGTATCGAGTTTTTGAACATAGCCAAGTTGTTTTAAGTGATTTTCAATGCATGTATATGATTCATGAAGCTTCTCTGCAATCTCACGTGTTGTACTGTGACAGTCCGAATTGATTATTGCTTTGATTAGGGCGTCATCAACTTCAACTGGACGACCAGAGCATTTTTCATCTTTGAGTGAAAAATCACCAGAACGAAATTTGGCAAACCAATTTTGACACTGCCGTTCTTTTAAGGCTTCGTCACCATAAACAGCACATAACTTTTTATGAGCTTGCGATGCGTTTTTCCCTTTGCGGAAATAAAAAAGCAAAATATGACGAAAATGTCCCTTTTGATTTTCCATTTTTCAACGAACGCCAAACGAAAACTACAAAACGGATCAAAAAACTTTTTTTAATGATTAACAGCTGAATAGCCAACTATCAAATAACAAAATGTGTTTTACATTTGTACTATGTCTGCAAACCTAAAAATTCAACTGAAGCCATATGTGTGAAGCCCGCAATTACTTCGTTGCCGACCCAATACCTTTCTTTTCTCCTCCATTCTCTTCGTTGGGAAGTGGTGTCCCTTGCTCTGCAGCTGCTGCCCACAGCATTTGCTAGGCCTGACGGCTCCTCCTTGCTTGCAGCTCTCTTCCCCTGGCTTATGGAACCAGTGCTTTTCCAATTCCTGTCCAATGGCACTGCCTCCCTCTTTGCCACCAATCCGTCCTCATCATACGACGACAGGTGGGAGGAGATGAACACGAGAAACAGGAACTATAGGCAGCATTATTACGTTACCCTTACTGGAGGAGTTTTTCAACGCCAGAGCTCCTCCTGCTGTGGCAATGGAATAGGAAAGTCAAAGCAGAAGAATAAGGGAGCACGGTGTAAGAGAAATGAAAAGCCATTGATTTTTATAAGTAAGTGATCAGAATCTGTGAAATAGGATTTCAGTAGAAAAATGGGGGTAGAATCCTGATTCCAAGCAGTTCCATGAAAGACTAAAGGAAGAAGATAGGGGTACTTTTGGTTTAGGGTGAAAATGGACATAACTTAAGGTAGAATTGATATAACCTTATTTTCTTCTATGTTTTCATCAGGATCCATAAGAGAACGTCAGTTTCTTCATTTTTAAAAAATATGTAAGCTAGGTAGTGTAATAACTAGACATCATTGTTAAATGTAGTGCTTTTTAAGAAAAGTAATAAGTTCCCTCATCAAATTCCTTATTCAGTTATTATTTTTATGATGGTTACATATTAATGAAATGGAGCTACATAGGTAGTTATACCTCAGTGAACCCCAGGGTTTACAGTCCCTGCTGCGTATTTCTGACATCACCTCTTATCTTCCTTAGGTGCTACACATTTTGGACCCCGCTACCAGTACAGAAAGCTCACCTGATAATCCGTTTTCTGAGTCTTCACCAACCACCTTACTTGCCACCAAGAAAAATATTGGGCGATTTCATCCCTACACCAGATATGAAAACATCACCTTCAACTGCTGCAGCCACTGCCAGGGAGAGCTTATTGCCCTCTAATGTGGCATCGGGCTTGCTGCAGGCCCGAGCCTGCCACCAGGAGTCATTCTTATTTGGAGCGGGGTTCCTAGAATGCTGGAAGTAATCTCACTTTCTACTTAAATGGTGTTTCATGTACGAGACTCCAGGTTACCCTTTTTTTACTAAATGTCTCAGGGTCAGAACAGACAAAGCAGTGCAAATACATAGAGTGGAGAACGCTTCCCAGGTATACACGATGCTTCTCCTAATGGGCTTTAAAAGGAAAAATGATATACCTTCTTTTAGGCCCCAAATCATTATCTCGCTATATATTTTATATGAGTAGATTTAATTTTGGTAATCACAATCAACGACTGGCAGACTATAGCCATGGGCCTTAGGCAGCCACACCACCGTCACTGCTGTCTGCGGGGGCTCTTGTAGTAACACAGAGAGCTCCACGGAGGAGACAGGCTGCAAAGCCTAAAATATGTCCTCTTCGTCCCCTTACTGACCATACTCTAAATAATCAGCAGAGGGATGGGGAGGAAGTGTTTTTCCCCTTTTCGGTGAATTTAGGGGGCCGGGCGCTACAAAGGAAGCTTAGGAAATACAGTAGGTTGAAGGGATAAATCTTTTAAAAAGAAATGCTGTATATTAGGAAAATTAGGAATTGACAGCTACATTAACAAGAGCTTCAGCAAAATGTGTTCTGTTTTTGTGCAGAGGATTCCATATTTTGAGTGGATGCCACTTGATATATATATATATATATATATAGAGAGAGAGAGAGAGAGAGAGAGAGAGGGGGGGAGGAGAGAAATAGGTTCTATTTGCTCAATTTGGCAAAGCAACAACATATCCAATTTGGGATATTTATAAAATAAGGTGGGGTAAGTAGGATTTTTCTAGGATATGGTACAAACTCAAACATGTAACCCATCAATTAATTTACATTATATAATATCCGTTATTGTTTATGATGGATAATCACAAAACACCCTTTTATAGGCATTTAAAACTATCCATAAAATGTTTATACCAAATTATATTAATTAGTTACAGAAGTGCCTGTCAATAGAGAAGCCTTCAAGAAACAAATCTGGTCAGAGTACATTGTATTTTAATGTCAACCTAGTGATTTTTTTGGTCTGATTCATCCGAGTTATATTTATAATTTCATGTGGCAATAAAGTTCTCTATCTTCTTTATTCAATATTGTCTTTTTTCCTCTCAGAATGATGTATTTCATTTCAAGTCTTCATCTAACTGATTCTTCAGCCTTCCCTTTAGTTTTAGTATAAAACTTAGAGGAAAACATAGAGGAAAAGCTTCATGACATTGGATTTGGCAATGATTTCTTAGATACGATACCAGAAGCACAGGCAACAAATAGAAAAAGATAAATTGAACTTCATCAAAATAAAAACTATTGTACATCAAAGGACACTACCAATAGAATAAAAAGGCACCCCACACAATGGGTGAAAATATTTGCAAATTATATATCTAATCCAGTACCCAGAATAAGTAAAGAATTACAACTCAAAAGTAACCCAGTTTAAAAAATGGGCAAAGGACATGAATAGAAATTTCTCCCCACAAAAATAAAAATACTAATGGCCTATAAGCACATCAAAAGATGCTCAATATCACTGATCATTGGAAATGTAAATTGAGTACTTCATACCCATTAGGATGGCTATTATCAGAAAAGCAAAATAACAATGCAAGAATGTGAAAAAATTGGAACTCTTGTGCATTGCTGGTGGGAATACAAAAGGGTACAAACACTATTGAAAACAGTATGGCACTTCCTCAAACACTAAGCCTAACACTGCTAGCCTCATGGACAAAACAAGACTATTAGGGTTGTTACCAACATTATACCAAGTTATTTACATAAAGCACTTACAATACCAGACACATTATAAACTAAAGCTGGCTAATTTTGTAACATACCTAAAAGTATTATGCATAATTGTTACACTGTTTTAAAGAAGAAGGCTTACCCTATTGCTTAGCCTGCCAGAGCTAGTCAAGGTCAAAGTTGATATAAATAGGACTTTGTATAAGGCCTTGAGCGAAGGTTGTTCAAGAGGTAACTCCTCTTTCTTATGAAATGTCCTAGTGCAATTTTTTCATGATAATAAGAATAGAAATCTGTGCCTTTCTTGTGGATCTTTCCTGCTAGAAACATTAAAATAATTTAGAAGGGAATAAAGAATGCAGAATTCATTCATTGTTCAATTAGTTGCATGGCCTAAGAAAGGGTATAACGCATTCCCACACATCAAGAGAAGTTTATTTTGTTCTAGTATAAAAAAAGGACAAATCATTGTCAACATCACCAAAAAGATACGTACCATTTCCATAATTCAGAGTCTAACCAAAGCACATGGGCATAAAAAAAAATAATATCCAAAATTCTGAGGATTGTGGCTTCAAAATGAAGCGTTTAATAGATACCTTCAGTTGTAATGATCAGTGAAGCGGAAGGATTTGGCTTCGGACATATATGACTGATTCTGCAACTGCCTGGAACGCTTTGCTTCCAGTCGGAACTGTCTAGTCCTTTCCTTGACAGCTTGTTGCTCCACTAGTTTTTCCATCCGCTTCCTTCGTAGCCACCTGCAGGAACAGACATGCGATCAGGTCTGGTGTCAACCAGCATATATACTTCATGCTATAAAGTTACTGCTATAGACAATTAAAAGAAATTGAATGTCTTTACATTGAAATACTATAGTGATAACACAAAAGTATTAACTGAAAAATTTCAGTCTAATGCCGTAGACCCACACAAAAAAACAGTTATATCTGGTATTAAATGTTTGAATTAAGTTTGTTTTATAATGGAATTGCAAACATAATATTTTTTAGTAATAAACACTGATTTATATGTGATATGGGCCCTATCCTTTTTGAAAAAATATGGTCTTTATAAGTAAATAAGTATGTGATAGATTCCAAATAACTAATGTTTTATAACAAGCTGAATGCTAAAACCTTACTTAACCAGGCTGAGAATCCTAGCATGCATCAATGTTGCCTTGCATTTCTTGGTAGGAAATTACAGAGCTCTTGATTTTCATTGCATAAACTAGTTCTTCCTTAAAGCAGAAAAATAAGCCTAAGCATAAAAAAAATAAAAAACCGGAGAGTCCACATTCTAACAAATATAAGTCTATAAATCTTGCTTAGGTAAAATAACATAAAAATGATTGTATACACACATATCTAGTATGTAAGAACGTGTGTGTGTGTGTGTGTGTGTGTGTGTGTGTGTGTGTATGTGTGAGAAATGGCTCTAGGCTGGAGATAGATGAGATCATTAATGAAAATAAGCCAATTGAGAACCGTAAGTATGATCTCAATTTCTGTTTTTAAATTGTAAGTACAGAGAAATATCTAGAATATATGCACTAAGGTCCTAACAACAGTGATTTCTGAGTGATAAGAATGTGATATATCCCCTTCCAGTTCCACAATGAATATTTACTGCTTCTATAATAAAGGGTTATATATATATATATTTAAAAAGGAAGAAAGATACAAAGAAAAAAAAGAGAAATATATAAAAAACAAAAACAGAATGAAAGTAACTTCAAACAGCAGGACTCCCACTGGCTTGCTGGCAAAATTATAAGCCAGGTGTGTTTCCTTAGAACCAGCCAGCCAATGCAAGATCTTACCTATACTGAAAAGAGATAAGGATTGCCTTCAGCCACCAAAATATGTACCCAAATCTCCTCTCACTTTGTCTATATAGATCTCCCTTCTCAGTCTGCCTGCCTTTCCTTACAGAAAAATAGTTCTAGGTAAATCAATTCTTTATTTAGTTTTTCTGAGGACTATGTAGGAGAAGCTGTAACCAATCTGTGGCCCATTTCTCTAAGAAATGAACAAATCAACAAACAGACGAACATATGAATGAATGGTAGCCTCTCAGAAGCTATCACACTGGTGCTATAGAAACCGTTTTAGCAGAAACTGGTTTGGCTCAATGGATAGAGCATTGGCTTGTGGACTGAAAGGTCCCAGGTTCGATTCCAGTCAAGGGCATGTACCTTGGTTGTGGGCACTTCCCCAGTAGGAGGTGTGCAGGAGGCATCTGATTGATGTTTCTCTCTCATCGATGTTTCTAACTCTCCCTTCCTCTCTGTAAAAAATCAATAAAATATACTTTCAAAAAAAAAACCGTTTTAGTATTGAAAACTATCTTGAAAGAATGATATCAATATTGTGCCAATTGTGGAAGTAAAGAATCTCACACACTTATTAAAGTGGATTTAAAATGGAATAGGATGCAATGTCAAAGATCCAATATTTGGCTTTTCCCCCCAAGCTTTATCCATCTATAACTTTCTAAAACGACCATGAGGGAGGCGCATTCTCTGCCTCTGACTCACTGTTTGAAGGCCCGCTCACGGCCCTCTGTCCCCTGGAGGAAGAACAAGCACTCCTCCTGCTTTCGCAGTTCTTCTGTCTTTCTTTCTTTCATCTGCTCTTCGTGCTTCTTTCTAAGCCATAATCGGAAAGCTTGTTGGGGGTCTCTGTTTTCCTGCTAGATACGAAAACAAGGTTTGTTTAATTTAATAAACCACAACTACTCGCTGAGGCCCTGCCTATAGGGCCCTACAAGAATACGTCCCACTCATAAATGTTTCGTAGTTACCACCCATGACCTGCACTCCTCATATCCAAACCAAACACATCACATCTGAATCAGCAACACTGACAACCCCCCATCAGAAAACTCAGCACTGAATTCACTGCCATGGGAATCTTTCAAAAATCTTAGTGAGCATGGCCCTCCCATGTTTATTGCAGCATCGTTTACAAGAGCCAAGATGGAAACAACCTAAGTTGTCATAGGTGAATAGATAAAAAAGATGTGGCATTTATGTGCAATAGTGTACTACTCAGCCATAGAAATAGATGACATACTGCCATTGCTGGATGGATCTCAAATGTACCATGCTAAGTGCAATAAGTCAGATGGAAAAGGACAAAAAACTGATTTCACTCATTTTTATGGGGAATATAAAACAAAAAAGACATGAACAAACAAAACAAAATAAAAACAATGTCAGGTACAGAAATAGATGGTAACAGAGGGGAAGGCAGTAGGGAGGGAGCAAAATGGGTGAAGGGGTCAACTGTGTGGTGGTAACTGGGGAGCACACTACAGCGTACACAGATATGGAATTATAATCCTGTGTACCTGAAACTTACAAAATGTTACTAACCAATGTCCTCTCAATAAAAAATACACACATACCTAAGTACATGCATACATAGAAGGAAAGAAAGAAAACAATACAGTACAACAGCTATTTGCATATCATTTACATTGTATTAGGTATTATAAGTAACCTGGAGGTGATTTAAAGTGTATGAGAGGATTTTTTAGGTTATATGCAAATACTACACCCTTTATATAAGGAACTTGACCATCCAGGGATTTTGGTATCTCAGAGGGACCCAGGGATCAATCCCACACAGATACTGGGGGAGGACTGTCATCAATAAATGAAAGTCTAAACATAACGACTTGCAAACTTTGCAAAGTGGAGCCCTTTGACAAAGGAAATGATTGTGCACAATGGCAAAAACAAATGAACTGCTAGAGAAAGGCAGTGTGAGTAGAGTTGAGGTCTTTATAGAAATTTGAAGAATGTCCGTGGAATCCAGCCTGAAAACCAAAGATCCAACATGTACATTACTCAGCCTTTCTTTATATTCTAACTTTGGGCTCAGCCC